TCAAACAAATAAATTGTTCTACTAGTTAAATACTTTCAAACTATAAGTTGTTCTACCAGTAAAAACTTTCAAACAAATAAATTGTTCTACTAGTTAAATACTTTCAAACAATAAAGTTTTAAGGAAGAAAATAGAATAACTAAAATGATAAATATAAGTTTTAATAAATGTAAAGTCTAGGGTATTGGGGATAATCAATTCCGGTTTTACTAACATTTATCGGTAATTAAATTACTCAGTTAAACAATTCACTTAATTTACTCATTTAGAGGTTTATCCGTACTAACTCTCGTAATATACGAATAAACTTAAATAAATGAATTAGTGGAATGGTTAACACATAAACAATACGTTTCCGAACATGTCTATTCTAAACAAATCAAGTTCTATCAACTTCGCCCCTCTCGGTTATGAAATCGATTATGTAGATTAAAATGGTGATCAAACATTTAACCATAATATTAATAAATTTGTAAAGATTGAGCAATAAAAATACTTATAAACGATAATAAATAGAAACGATTATCCCCTAACCCTAGTTAGAAAATTAGTTACTCATAGTAATTTTAACATACAAATTCTTATGTAAATAAACCATTATAAACATAAAATAAAAAGAAAACTTACTAATAATCCACAAGCTAGAGCAAGTGCAAACTTAATGTCCAAACTTCAATAATCTTCAATAATTCAATCTTACAAATTCAAACATACAAATGTAGTAAAAATAGAAATGTGGAAAGATAAAATGATATAGAAAAAAAATTGCCTTTTTTTTCTCTCCCCTTTTCTTTCATGATAATGTTGCTATTTATAGATATAAATAGCTTACTAACATCAACTAACATCAACCAAAGTTCAACAATAATTCAACCACCAAGAAAAATGCAAGAAAAGGTGAAAGAAGGTAGGAAAAATGAGAGAAAGGTTGGAATTTTCGGACAAAATCCGAGAGTGAATTTTTCCGCGCGCATTCGCGCACGTCTCGGGCAGCTTTGCTTCTCGGGCTCGTTTTGGGCTCATCCGAACTCAGAATTGAGTTCCGTTTTTTTTACGCGTCGCTAACGAACCCCTCTATTTAATAATGTATGTCAATAAAAATTTCACCCAGAATACAATTATCTAAGGATTTTTAACTTCTAAGGTGTCGGCAACTCGCTCGATTTTACGCTTTGGTCTCGTACGAACTCATCCGAACTTGAAATCGAGTTCCGCTTTTTTTTTGTGTGTAGCTAACGAGCTCCTCTTTCTAGTAATGTGATCATGCCCATTAACTTTCCAAAATCTTGCTCTTCCGAGATTTTCGATTGTTCCTTTGTTTTACAAATACTCGAAAAATACAAGAAAAATATACAAAACTCCACACAAATACTTAAAGATTACAAATTACTAAATAAAACTAAAAACTACCCAAAATCCCACAAACTTACTAAAAATACATAAAAATAATAATAAAAAACAATAATAAAAACATAACAAAAATAACACTAACACCTACTTGGAGTCTACAAATTTTCACCTTTTTGTCATGAGCGGCTCGCATCCTTTGCTTGTACGCCTCCACCCGGATTGCTGCTCTTCCACGCAGCTCCTCAATAGTATCCAGGGCTGCCATCATTAGATCCTCGTTCTGCTCAGTGTTATATGTGCTCGACCTCTGGGATGATAGCTCGACCTCGACCGGCAGCAACACTTCCATTCTATAAGCTAAACTGAAAGGGGTTTCTCCTGTTGTCGACCTCGGGGTTGTGCGATACGCCCAAAGTACCGAGCTCAACTCATCGACCCATGCTCTCGAGGCCTTTTCCAGCTTTGTTTTCAGCCCATTCAGTATAATTCGGTTGGTTACTTCGACCTGGCCATTGTCTTGCGGATGAGCAACGGAGGCAAAGTGTTGCTCGATTTTTATGTCTTCGCACCATGCTCGAATCCGCTTGCCATTGAACTGAGTACCATTGTCGGAAATCAACACTTTGGGCACGCCAAACCGGGAGCAAATGTTGTTGTATAGAAATTTAATTACTTTCTCCTCCGTACTCTTCGCCAAGGGTTCGGCCTCCACCAACTTTGTGAAATAATCAACCGCCACTATCAAAAACTTTCTCTGCCCCGTTCCCTGAGGCATCGGCCCCACCAGGTCGATACCCCATTGGACGAATGGTATAGGGGCACTCATCGTCGTCATTGCTTCTGCCGATTGGTGAATAAGGGGGCCATGCTTTTGGCATTGTAAGCATTTCTTCACCATCACCTTCGCATCCTCCCTCATCGTCGGCCAGAAATATCCTGCCCTCAAAATCTTTGCAACCAAGGCCCCTGACTTACTATGATTACTGCAGCATCCCTCGTGCATCTCTCTCAGCACATATCGACCTTCCTCCTTAGTAACACAACACAGATGCGGTCCCGCATACGACCGTTTGTAAAGAATGCCTCCATATTCAAAAAATCTCCTCATCGCCTTTATCGTTCCCCCTTTCAGTTCTTCCAGGATCGGGGCCCTCCAATCCTCCACTTCCTCAATCTCTTCCACTTCCGCTTCGACCACACTCTTTTCAAGATGCAATAAGGTGACACTTCTGCTCTTACAATCCACCAAGCTTTGAGCAATTTTCGATAACAGGTCCGCTCGACCATTTTCTCCTCGAGGGATTTGTATCAGCTCGAATGAATCAAACTCCTCTTTCAACTTCCTCATCTCGTCCACATACTTTTGCATCCGGTCCTCCTTAACTTCAAACCCCTCCTGAAACTGCCCGACCACCATTTGAGAATCAGAATGCACTTGTAATCTTCGGGCTCCTCCCGCTTTGGCTAAACTCAAGCCTTTGATCACTGCCTCATACTCGGCCTCGTTGTTGGATATGTTGAACCCCACTTTAGCCGCAAATTCCAAGTAATCACCCTTAGGAGAGACAAGGACAATTCCCAATCCTGCCCCGCTTCGTGCCACAGATCCGTCCACAAACAACTGCCATATTCCTCCTGACTCCTCCTCAACTTTCGTGCCTTCCTGGATAAAATCGGCCAACACCTGCGCCTTTATGGCCTTCCTTGGCTCGTACAACAAAGAATATTCACTCAACTCGACCGCCCATTTCACCAATCGACCAGAGACCGATGGTCGGTCAAGTGTTTCTCCCAGCAGCATGTTTGTTCGCACCCTCACCTTATGGTTCAAGAAATAAGGTCTCAACTTTCGAGCAGTTACTACCACAGCCAAAGCACACTTCTCGATCTCCGAATACCTCATCTCTGCCCCCTGCATCACCCTACTCACATAATAAATAGGAAATTGTGCTACCCCTTCCTCCCGCAATAACACCAAACTCACAACCCTCTCTCCAATAGAAATGTATAGCACCAACTCCTCGCCCTGTACAATTTTAGCCAATAAGGGAAGATTGGCCAACACCCCTTGCAACTCCTAAAATGCCCCATGTGCCTCTTCCGTCCATTGAAATTTTAGGCTCTTCTTTATTGTTTTGAATAATGGGCCACTTTTCTCCGCCACCTTCGATATGAAACGACTCAGCCCCGCAATTCGACCAGCCAAGATCTGCACTTTCTTAACATTCTTCGGCGGCTTCATCTCTATTACGGCTCGAACCTTCTAAGGATGCACTTCAATACCTCTCTTGGTCACCAAGTAACCCAAGAATTTTCCCGACCTCACCCCGAAAGAGCACTTAGCTGGATTCAGTTTCATCCCATACCTCCGCAATGTTGAGAACGTCTCTTTCAAGTCTCGCACATGATCTAACTCCTCCTTGCTTTTCACCAACATATCATCCACATACACCTCCATGTTCCTCTCTAGTTGCTCCTTAAAGATTTTATCGACCAACCTTTGATATGTGGCGCCCGCATTCTTTAAGTCGAATGGCATGACCACGTAACAATAGGTTCCTCGACTCGTTACAAAACTCACCTGCTTCCTGTCCTCTCTCGCCAAGGGAATCTGGTGATATCTCTGGGAGGCATCCATCAGGCTTAGCAGTTCGCACCCCGCCGTTGAGTCGACCAGCTGGTCGATTTTGGATAGTGGGTATAAGTCCTTTGGGCATGCTTTGTTTAGATAACAGAAATCAATGCATATCCTCCATTTTCCCTCTACTTTCGACACCATCACTGTATTCGACAACCATTCGGGGAACTGAATCTCCTTGATATGCCCTACTCCTAATAGCTTCTCAACCTCCTTCTCAATGAATCTGTCCATCTCCACCCCATGGTGCCTTCTTTTCTGCTTCACCGGCCTCACACTAAAGTCGATGTTCAGCCGATGCTCGATCACCTCCGCACTTATCCCCGTCAACTCCTCTGCTGTGTAGGCGAAAATGTCAGCAAACTCCCTAACCAGATCGATCAACCTCGACTGAATAGGCTTCTCCAGGTCCTTCCCGATTCTGAACTTCCTCTCATCACACCCCTCAATCATCTGAATCTCCTTCACTTCTCCCCCTGGCTGGATATCCACCTTCTCCTTACCCTTCTCCATTCTCTGTTTATCCTCTTTCGACCTCGACCCCCCTGGTCGATTAACCTCCTCTTCCTTCGACTTGGCCTGCCTCTTTTCCAGTTGCTTGTTATTGCTCACTGTTGTTTGATAGCAGCTCCTTGAAGTGAGTTGATCCCCGACAATCTCCCCTACGTTTTCACCCACAGGATACTTGATCGTCATGTGGTACGTGGATACGAACGCCTGGAACACATTCAAGCTCGTCTGCCCCATAATGATGTTATAAGATGATTCAGCTCCTACGACCACAAACCTCACCATGCGCACCTTCCTCAGCTCTCCCACTCCTAATGCCACTGGCAAACTTACCTCACCCATCGGCACCACCTCTCCTCCATTGAAGCCATAAAGTGGCGTGGTCACCGACTTCAGCTCCGTATTCAACTCCTTGTTAATTTGCACAAAACAGTCTTAGAACATCACTTCTACCGAACTCCCGGTATCAATAAACACCCTCTTCACGTCAAAGCCTGCAACCTCCGCGGTTATCACCAAAGCATCGTTGTGCGGTAGGACCACTCCCTCGGCATCCTCCGCCTTGAAACTTATCACCGACATACGAGCCGTAATCCCCACCTCCTCTCTTTTCCTCTTCGCAGCTTGAGCATGCTCTTTCCTGGCCCTATTCGAGTCACCATCTGTTGGCCCTCCGAAAATCATGTAAATCGTTCCTCTCTTCATCGGGGCCTCTCCTCCCTGGCCCTCTTTATCTCCATCTCTTCTCGGCTTTTTTCCTCGACCACCTCGGCTCTCTCCGTCGTCTCCTTCTTCATCCCTATCACTCCTTTCCTCTGAATCATCTCGACACCTTCTCCTTCCTTTCCCTCTCGCCCTATCATGGTACACAAACTCTTTCAAATGTCCTGCTCGAATCAACCTCTCAATCTCATCCTTCAAATGCCTGCAGTTCTCCGTGGTATGGCCGTAATCTCGGTGAAATCAACAATATATATCCGATCTGGGTCGAGTCGGGCCTGTGAACCTTGTCTTCGGCCACATCACATCCTCGGTCGACATTTTCTGCTCCATAGCCTCGAGCACCTCTGTCAAATCCTTCCTCAAGGGTGTAAAATTATGGTACCTCTGTCTTTCGAACAACAACGGCCTTCCTTGCCACCTATCATCCCTCTTCTCTCGCTTCGAATCCTGACCTTCCCTCCTTGGTGATGTCTTTTTCGACCCACTTCTTTTTGGCGAACTCCTCCTTGGCGACCTCCCTCTTGGTGGGGTTTGCTCCTTCTTCGGCTCTGGTCGAGCCGGCCCTTCCAACTTTGCGAACTCTACCTCCATTTCCTCCAATTTAATATACTTCCTGCAACGCTTCAAGACCTCCTCATACGATCGAGCAGGGGTCTTTGCTAGGGAAGTTCGGCAAGGCCCTGCTCGAAGACTTCTTATCATTCCTCCCGACTTCACCTCATCTGAAGTCGAATGCACTTCCAAACACGTCTGGTTATATCGTGCGACGTACTTCCTCAATGACTCCTTCTCCCCCTGCCTCATTGCCATCAACGTCAAATATGTTTTCTCATGCGCCACCGCGCTCGAATATTGATTGGTAAGCTTGCCGGTAAAATCCTCAAAATCCACAATCGATCCAGAGGGCAACTGGTGAAACCAGTCAAGGGCTCCTCCGCGCAAGGTCGATAGGAACACCCTGCAACAAATAGAATCAGAATATCCATGTAACACAGCCATATTTTCAAAGGTCCTCACATGCCTCGACGGGTCAGAAGACCCGTGATACACCAAGTTGGTCTCCTTGAAATTAATTTGCAAAGGAGCAGCTAGAATCTCCCTTGAAAAGGGATGTCCTCGAGCTCTCCTCTCTGGCCTCCCCTCCACCTTGTCCTGCAACTGGCACAACTGCTCCGCCATTCTCTCCATCACCCGATCTCTTCCAACTCCTCCCTCTCCATAACTGGACACATCTTCATCTTGATTTCCGGCCACCGTGGTCGGCGCAGTGGTGGCATGAGATGTGTGGCTCGTAACTTGCTGCACCGCCTGCGCCGTCGCGGCCGCCGCTATCCTCTGCATCTCCTCCCGGGTCATCGTCACCATTTGCTGACCGGGGGCTTGTACAGCTGCCTGTGGTGGCGCTCCTCGTTGCGCCATCGCTCCTCCTTGCACCAGTGTTAGATTTGGTGGCAGTGGCGGTGGCATCACCGCCGCGGCTGCTGCGCGAGCCTCCTGGGCCCCACTAGAGGCGGCATCTCCTCCGGGAATCACCGTCGTCACTCCCACACCTTGAAGGATAGGTATGGGAGTGATTGGTGTCTGCGATGGGCCGGAAAAACCCGGAGAAGAGCCTTGCCCCATCGGCTTGGTCGTCGTCCAAGCCTCGTCGAACGTTGACTACAAGTTTTTGGGAATTCCGTCCGCCATAGCTGAGCTTCAAACACAACTTTTTAACGAAAAGTTCCCAGAGACGGTGCCAATAATGCAAGTGTGAGCATCCTGGTCTGGTTTGGAATGGATCGATCTTTGTCCTCGCCGGTAGAACGCCGGAAATATGCAAGTAACTCCCACACTGGGGGTTGTGTCCGGTGAAGAGCCTCCGATGCTTAAGTCAGTATGTGTATGGGTATACTGAAGTGAAGAATGAATAGAATATCCTCAGGGAAAAAGGCTCACCCCCTTTATATAGGGGTGAGATACCTGCCCTAATAGCTGCCCGGATAAGATGAGCTGGCTGCCCCAAGTGGCTCGTCCGTACTCTGACACACCGCGCGCATGTCAGAGGTTGCGCGGGGGCGTTAGGGAGCTGTCAGAGGTGGTTATCGATATCCACCAACGCATTCTCGACACGTGTCCCCCTGCACATGGGGTAAATATTCTCCTGAGATTCGGTTAGAGGTTCCCACACGCGCCTGTGACTAGGCCGACTGTTGGGTCCTCGATACGATCGACCTGATGAGGTCGAATAGGTTGCTCGATCGCTTGTCTGGTCGAGCGATGGATTGGTCGACTACCTGCCTGGTCGATTATCTGAATGATCGATCCTCCCGCCTTTTGGCTTGGCTTCCTCTTGGTTTGACCTTCTCGACTGGCTGAGCAGACCGGTTTAGCCTCGTGTATATAATATCCCATATCAGTGAGTGTCATGAAAATTACATGCAACGTGATCTTTATCATGTCTATTTCCAACTGGTCCAACTTTAAATTCTTGGTGAGATCAATCCCTAATTGCAACACAAAGTCGCAAAAAAATAAAAAAATTTAGTGATTCATAACGAATCAGAACCATCAACTTTACTCTGCAGAAAACTGAAGCGATTACATTCAAGAAAACAATGAACACCAACTCCCACTTAACTAAGGCAATATCCAAGTAACACTTATATGAGCAATATACTCATAAAATACTTCAAGTGTTAATACCTCAGTATACCTTATAATGGAGCTATGAATTTATTGTCTTCAAGAAAAAATCCATCAACATGAATTTTATCCTTAGCAACAAGAAACTTTATAAACAATTTTGTTGTTGAAAAAGAAGAACTAATATTATAACAATAGAACTTTATTGGTATTCAATACCATTCGCAACATGCAGCCTAGTGATAATATTACGCAACTATAACCTTATAAGATGCCTTCAGATAAGCTAAATCTCAATTGCTAAAGAGGAATAAACTTTAAGTGTTGCTTGACACTTTCCGAATTAGTTCTTGCAACTAGCAGTTAATGTAGCTTGACTAAAATTTGGATCGTTCAATTTTACAGACATCCACTAAACTCAAAATTAGAGTTTCAAATGACCTCCCAAATGATCCAATAATCCATAAGTGAGTATAAACTCTCTTCTGTTCTCAAACAAACGTTAAAAATCCCTTTTGTTGCATTCAAAAGGTTAATAATCAAGATTCAATCATTTGTCAAAATAAAACATGTATTTGATATCCAAATACATATGTAACACCCCGCTATGTCATAAATATTAGAGTAAATTTTTGCAAAAATCTTTCTAAATAAAATGTATTAATTTGCGAATCCTTATTGGGATGCCACTAAAAACCCTTTCGTATCGTAAAATCCGTTATCTTTATTTAAATTTAACTGTGAAGAAAAACGGATTATTTTAAATCAAACTAGCATGTAATATTAATATAAAAGTCCGACTGACAACTCGGATCAAAACTGAAAACTAACATGCTAGTTGAAAAGTCATAAAGTGTCAGCGGAAGTCATGCGTGGCAAAACATAAATGTACAATAATGTACAAATGGCAAGCAGCCAAATCCATGACCACGAACCACCGGCCAAGATCACTCCTCCGGTCCGACTCTGTAACCTGAAAAACATAGAAATTGTGGGGCGTGAGCACTAAAAGCCACTGTGTTCCGCAGGAACTCATACTAAAGTAAACATCAGTAATAATTGCATCATCATGATCCTGGCATATACATAAATCTCAAATAGTACCGGTACATCATAAACATCACATAACCTCACATCATATAGCATAGCCGTAGCATAGTTGTACCTGCCAGCACGATATACTGGACACCATGTGCACACTCTAGTGGGCAGATATAACCACTAGAACCCAGGATGGACATTCCGGAATTAACCACCATCCCAATCGGATACCTCACATAACATGATATATACTTCAAACATGATAGTTGTACTTATAGTCAATGCAATACCCAAACTGAGTTCCCACCTGAGCTGCTGATATGAACTGTAAGTGCTGATAGCTGCTGACTGTTCAAACTATAAAATATATAAATAAACAAATACTAAGTACTATGCTCAGACTGACTGAAAATAACTGCTAAGATGCTCGACTCAACTTAAATAGTTAACTGGATTAACTAAAATAAACTCAGGTTCTTACTTGACTGATAAATCTGAAATGAACTGACTGGACTGAAAATACTGAATTAAACTGGTACTGCTATACTGGACTGAAAACTGAACTGGAATACTGAACTGAACTCAGACCGAGTCACTGAGTCCTGAACTGCTCAAGTAACCGGTCTGAAACGGCCGGTTCACTGACTGGCCGGACCGCCGGTTCGCTGTGGCCGGGCGGTCGGCCGCTGGCTGGGCCACCGGCACGGTTGCACGCACGTACTGGGCGTGGCCAGGGCACTGTTGGCGCCGGCCCGTGCGTGACTGGCTAGGTCCATGCGCTAGCGGGTGTGGCTAGCACCACGCGTGCGCAAGGGACGGCTGATGACGGATCGAATTTCTGTCTATACTGGGGTGTGAATAATCACGCACTCAGAGCCTTCGATTAAACACGATAGGTGTATCAAACAGACGCACTCAGGGCCTTCTCCTAGATACCGTGACTTCAAGACGCTCTAACGGCCTTCTCTCCGACACTATATGTAAACACGCACTAACGGCCTTGTTTATCACACGTTAGAACATAAAGTTCCCCTCACAATTGGCTCACCAATTCAATACTATATTCAACTCATTTCCATAATGATGAGGTACATGGGGTATTTATAGGTGCAAAAATAAATCTAAGCCTAATAGATCTAGATCTCCTAAATCTAGCAATAATAGAAATCCGAACACTAGAAAATCTCCTAATATCTTCTACTACTAATAAATAAAAGCAACAAGGAAATAAAATCCTACTGCTACTACTACCAAATTACTAATTAATTGTCTTGCAGACCAAGTATCTTGATGCCCAAGAAATTGCGCCCCACCCAAACTCTTCGACCGCCTCATCTCCTTCGGACGCGTCATATTGCGCATCGCACGCGTGTGCGTGATCTTCGCACTCCTCCGCGGACTGGGTCTCTTGCGCGCCCGTGTCGCACGCGCTTCCATGCGCGTGTCCTGTCCTGCGCCCGAACTCCTCGCGCGTGTAACGCCCCGTTTGAATAAGAATTATTTAGGTTTTATTATTATTATTATTATTATATTATTATTATTATTATTATTATTATTATTATTATTATTATTATTATTATTATTATTATTATTAGTATTAGTATTATTATTATTATTATTATTGTTGTTGTTATGTGTCAAATTGCCTAAATATTATAATTATTTATTAAATGTCTAAAATGTGAATTATAAATATGTGTATATTTTTTTGGTTATTATTTTAATTGTCGCGCAATTAAATCGTGCCTGAGAATTTATTCTAAGTGTTGAACCCGACACAAGCGTACGAACCCGGTCCGCTCGTGAGCCGAGTTCAGGCCACCCACCCAATTTTCTCCTTTGATTGTGTGAGTGCGTGTGTTTGAATTTCTTGTTGGCCAAGACTTCAAGCCCGGGTTCCCTTTAATTCTCTGCGTGTGTGTAGGCGTGTGATTTATTCTTATGGAGCAAGAAATTTTGCCAAATCTAAATTAATGTATCTAATTGAGAAATAGAATCCCTCAGCAACATTCCAACCCGCAGCCATACACAGAATTTGCCTTCTTCTTGTTCTTTTTCTTTTTCTTCCGCGTCGACGTTAGCCGCCATCATCTTCTTCGTACCATCATCGCGTCACCGTCCAGCCTCCATCGTTCCTTCACTATCATCCTCCGTCGCACCGCCATCCCGTTGAGTCTGCGGACAAGAGAACACCAGCCGACCATCACTAATAGCAAGTGGTCACAGCTTCTCCGCACAACCGCCAACCACCGGCGAATCCCCTTTTTCCGACCGAGCAGACCCCAGCCCTCTAAGCCGCAGCGAGTAGCAGAGCGAGCGGCAACCCCGTTGGGTTCGTTTTTAGCCTGCAACAACCCTTGTATGTCATGCGAGAAGAGCAACGACCATCCTTTGGTTCTTTTTTTGAGTAGTTCCGCAGCGCCATCGTCACCCTCCGTCGAGTCGTTAGTTTTTGTCGAGCACCACCAACAAGTTCTCGCTATCCGTCGACACCTCCGCGATCGTTTTCCGGCATCCCTAACGAGCCGGAACAACCCCGCAAGACTACATACGCACCCCCGCCCCGCGAGCCGAAGTGTTCAAGCCCGATGAGCGTGCTCCTGACCTCCGAACATCCCATATCAGCCGTCGTTTATTCGTCATCTCGAACTAATCTCGAGAATGGTACCGAAACTCGATTCCCCTTTCGTTTGATCGTGTTATGCGATATGTTGACGTTTTGATGATCTATTTTGAATTTCGCTGTAATCGAGTGAGGTCATGATATATTCATGTTAGGACTGTGGATAATGGAACTTTGTTGAGTCCTCGGCCTTATGGCGAAGGCC